GGTAAGTTTGAGAAATCGGCTCGAGATACACTTTTTGTTATATTCCATGGAATGCTCCTAACATCCCGATAGCAATGAATATCTTAAGTGCTTTGACAAAAAATGTCATCTGTGGAAGCCCCGTCCCGGCTAAAGTAACTGGATGGCCTACCTGCCTGTCAGCCTTCCATCTGGGCACACACTTATCTCGTGCCCTCATTGGACTCATGTGCGCGTTCGTGTGTGTTGGAGGAGGGGAAAGTGGTACCTTTTGTTTTAAGGTAAGGAAGTGGCAGATTTTTTCCGGCTGTGTATTTTCAAATTCTAGCGCACTCGAGCTGGTTTCTCCAAAATTACCTACCCCACCTTTAAGGAAGTATTTGTCAAGTCTATATGGTTTCAATATAAGCTTGGAGGAAATAGGAGTCTGACCTGCAGCAGAATAACAGCACATTGATGCGCTCACCTCCTCATTACAACACAACTGCAAACTCTAATTTGATGTCGCTGAGGATAATGCTTTTGTTCTGAAGGCATCCTCTGCTTATAGTCTATCATTAAACAGTGTGACTCCCTTCAGATGAGTGACTGAAGACCAATTCCCAGTTTATTATTTACCAAGCAACAAACGAGAAAGCTGAACCTCTGTGAGGAGTGCAGATTGTTATAGAGGAGCTGGAGAACAAAGAGTGTTTCCACAATGAGGAAGCGATACAGATTCCCAAGCTATGTAATTAAAAGGACGGCCTTTTGTTTACTCAGTAGCGGTTCAGAAATGATTATGTTTGATGTTCTACTACTACTTAGATGACAGGGATTTGCTGTGGGAAAGTTTCAACATGAGCAAACAATTCTTACTAAATTCAGGTTAATGAGGCCCTATTAAGCTTTTTGGGGTTCTCCCTTTCCTGTAGTGTGTTGTATTGGTTTGTTGTGCATGGAAATGGTCTGCAAAGGCTAAGATATGTCGATAAGTGTTTTTCTGTACATATCTGGTACAATATTTGAATGAGACAAGAAATAAGAAAAGGTGGAATAAGTTCTACTACATGTATAAGCTTAACTTCTTCCTAGCTTGGAATAAAACAACAAATTCCCTCCAAACCCAAACAGGGTCCCAAAAGGCATCGTGGGCAACAAAGCTAATTACTAACAGAGGCACAAGAGGACAAGAAAACAGGGCAGTTTTGGGGAAGGTAAATACACCAAAAGAATAAATCAAATTACTCTGACACGAAACAACTCCTGGGATGCATTTAAATTAACTGATTTCTGATGCATTAGAGTCTAGGTGGATAGCTGCTCAAAAGGAGATGGAACAGCTTAAAAGTGTATTTCAGGGGAATTTAGAAAAGAGGCTCAACACCATCACCCAGTTTTTTTCTTCGTTGCAATTTCAGAAAACTTGCCGCAATGTCGTAATGTCAAGTGTCAGGGGATGAAGTGGGATTTCTCGAGGAGGAAGGCAGTTGAACGGTCTTGAAGTTTTAACAGCCAATCAAGATCAAAGAGGATCTTGCCGGATTATTCCCAGAATGAACATCACAAACAGAGGCCGTAAATTCAATCCAACCCGGAATTAAAAGTCAGAAAAGGTAGACATGGAAGGTCACAAGTGACACGCCATGCAAAGACACACAGCATCATAACAAATCCAACATGGCAGCGGTATAAAGGTTAAAGAAGCAGGTGTGTGAATGCAGGATGAATCTCTGGTTGTGTTGTTATATATATTGGGCTTGAAAACTGCAGTTATTAAGCCACTGCTAAAAAAGAACACACTCGATACACTGATAATCAGTAATTACAGGCCAATTTCAAATTTACCATTTTTAAGCAAAATAATTGAAAAGGTTGTCTACCTTCAATTTAACAGTTTTTTGACCTCCAATAACATTTTAGACACTTTCCAATCTGGTTTTAGGTCTCGTCATAGCACAGAGACGGTTTTATTACATTTTTTAAATGACATTCATTGTAATACCGACTGTGGGAAATCCACAGTTTTAGTTCTATTAGACCTCAGTGCGGCGTTTGACACCGTAGATCACAACATTTTAATAGAAAGACTAGAGAAATGGGTGGGTCTGTCTGGCACTGTCCTAAAATGGTTTACATCATATGTTGAAAACCGAGAGTATTTTTGTTTCAATTGGTAGCTGTACATCAGACAGAACCAAAATGACTTGTGGAGTTCCCCAGGGGTCGATCCTCGGGCCCCTTCTATTCAATTTGTACATGCTGCCACTTGCTCAAATAATTAGAAATAACAACATTTCTTATCATAATTACGCGGATGACACCCAAATCTACATATCACTTTCCATAGATGAATACGGTCCGACTGATTTATTGATCACATGTCTAAAACAAATACATGACTGGATGTGCCGTAATTTCTTACAGCTCAACACAAAAAAAAACCGAAGTAATTGTTTTTGGAACCAAAGAAGAAAGAATGAAAGTCTCTGCACACCTGGAATCACTATTACTCGAACCGAAAAGTCAAGCAAGAAACTTAGGTATAATTTTAGACTCTGACCTCAATTTTAACAGCCACATCAGGGCAATCAACAGATCAGCCTACTACTGTACCATCTAAAAAATATCTCGCGTATTAAAGACCTTATGTCCAAGCAAGACCTTGAAAAACTTGTCCATGCATTTGTTTTTAGCAAGCTTGACTACTGCAACAGCATCTTCACAGGCCTCACAAAAAAATCACTCCATAAACTCCAACTAATTCAAAATGCTGCTGCCAGAATCTTAACACGGACAAAGAAAACAGATCACATCACTCCAGTACTGAGATCACTGCATTGGCTTCCAGTTAGTGAGAGAATTGACTTTAAGATTTTAATGCACACATATAAAGCACTAAACGGGCTAGGACCCAAATATATCAACGACCTCCTTCAGTGGTACGAACCCAGCAGACCCCTTAGGTCTTCAGGCGCAGGCCAGCTCACTGTTCCATTTGTGAGATCAAAGCGTGGGAAAGCAGCCTTCTGCATCTATGCTCCTAATGCATGGAACAAACTCCCAGAACATCTGAGAATGGCTAGCACTTTAGAATCATTTAAATCAGGTCTAAAAACATTTCTTTTTAATATGGCTTTTCAAATGTAAATGTTCTAATTTTCGAACTGTTAAACATGGTTTTCTTTCTTTTAATTAATTATTTTGTGTGTTTTGTATTTCTTCTCAATGTATTGTGTTTGCTCTGTTTGATCCTGTAAAGCACTTTGAATTGCATTACTGTATGAATTGTGCTATACAAATAAATTGCCTTGCCTTGCCTATATTAGATATAGATATTAGAAATAGCACACATTAGGACTCTAGTAGAAACAGTGAAAGCGGCTCGCGTTGAACTGTCAAACTGAATTACAGACCTGAACCTCTGTGATCCGTACCACGAAAGGAAAACATTAGAATGACATGCCCACTGAGGCCTGAGAACAGCATTTACACAACATTGTTTAATCAAGTATTTTAAATTAAATCTATTATGAGGATCCACATCCATTAGGAGACAAAAAAGGGACAATGTGTGCTGATTAATTGGGGCCCCCATTTACAGATCCCTCTGTGGGTCCCTTGAGTTCCTCTCTACGTCTCTCTTTCTCCCTCTCACCTGCCTAATTAACTGTTATCCGGATACATTTATGCTCAGGAGAATGAATATCAAAATGACGCAAAGAAACCCGCCAAACTGCATTTGACTGGGCTGTCTCTCTGTGGATGACAGCCCAACACTGAGAGGAAGTGATAGAGGTGTTGAATCAAATAGTTGTTCATACATTACGTTTATAACAATGGGTGCAGATGTAAACGAGCAGAATAAACCCATTTCCACTATTCCTCAACCAAATAAAACCAAATCTGTTGCAGTTAGATTACATGTAATCCGTTACTCCTGAAGCCTGTCTCTCAGCAATCAGGTAAAGGATTTAGAAAATCTCCATCATCTACTATCACAAAACTTAATTACATGAACGTAAGCCAGAGCAGCTTTTACTGTATCCATGATCAATTTAAAAGGTACAATGATCTGCGCCTATTTTCTGATTGCCACCTTTTACCCCTGCGCTCCAGTTGTGTTCATCGCCCATGACAAATTGACTTCAAAGGAAGTCTCCATCATGACCCATTTTCCCTTCCACCAACAGCTGAGCTCTCACCCAATAAGGCACAAAGCGGGGAATTTTCCCATGAGCCCCTTGTGCATCAAAAGGCTGGTAAGGCAAACGGTAGAGCACGGCTCTGAGGAAGCCGCGTGAGGCAAAATGGGAGGCAATCATTTGAAGCAATGCTAATATTTGAAGGGAATGCGGAGGGAGATTATGAATGGTTTTCAGAAGCACCACTTCCATCCATTACTGACTCATTACAGCCGAGCAAACACAAGAAGCATCCATGTTGCACACGCTTTAACCGAGATGAATGTGATCAGTGTAATTACATTGAGAAGACAGGAGAGAAAGCGCCGACATGCCTTTCATACCGACTGAAATACTTTCTTTCTCATACACTGTGTCGATGACTCAGTACGCTTTCCTACCAAGATCAAAACTCAAAGTTCAAACACAAAAGAGAATAACATTTCATTCTAAACACTGGTTACGTCAAGTGCTACCTGTGCTGAAAAAACTCAGCTACAAAAGATATTTACAGTAAATGCTAGAAACTAGTGTCAGCAGTTTTGCAGAGCGGAATTGGACTTAATGTGCATTTTTGAATCAACTTCTTGGAGTTTTATTAAGTAAAACGTAGTATCATAATTTAATTTGACCCCCACATGTCCACTGTATTTGCACAGCAAGCAGGGAATTGACAAACAAATCCACATTTAAGTCGAGCGGCACCTACTTAAGGGGAATTGGCTTTAATCAAATAATCTAGAAATTTGAAGCGATGCCATTATGACAAGCAGGCATTTGCTGCATGTGTGACACACCACGCTGCATTGATGGACAGAAAATAATCTCTCAGTGAGGGGAATGAAACGTGTCTCTTACCTATTGCCATCTCCATGACGCTCACTTGGCTCTCCGAGGGGAAGAGGATTTTGGGCGGCTTGTCTGTCAGGGGAGCTGTGAAGACAGAGAAAACCAGAGCACATTACATGTCTCCTCCCTTGGGCAGTAGGAGTATGATTTATTCATTAAAGACCACAATAAAAGGCTGCATTAAAATGAGAACAAATACATGGAAATACAATGTGGACAGAGAAGAAAATGGATGAATAACTGTGAATTACCCTTTTCAAAGCTTTTCAATGCACAAGCTTTCAAAGAAGCAGCTGCTTCACTACTAATGCTTTAAGGCCGGGAGCGATGATATGGCTTTGACATGGACTGCAATACAAACTGTACTGTATATACTGCAGCTGTGTAACTATTCAACCATTGCTGAATCTACAATATACCCCGAGGTAAAAACCCTTCACAGCTGCAGAGTAAGGTTAAGAGCTACTGCAGGAGATGCAGTATTTCCTGCTGTGCAGATAATGTGATCAGAAAATGTAAGCTTCTTAAAATACCTTGACAATATCTTTCAGAACAAATTAAAAGCAACGTGCATGATTCGGAGGGTTACGTGATCCCAAAGGCATGCCGTGTGGTATATGTGTTCAAAATGGGAGCGTGGTCCTGATCTAAAAGTGTATCACATTAGGAAAGCCTTTCGTCCCAACGCCCAATGAAAATACTCCGGGTCCAATTAGACAGCTGCTGAGTAACAAAAGACGTGTACTTAGAGGCTTCTCATTATAATGATTCCCTAATTGGTTCTAGTCTTCAAAGTGTCATCGGAGAGGTTTTTCTTTCTGCGCTCACTAAGAAATACTCGCAGGAATGAGGCTTGTTTTAGTACAAATGACTTGTGGTGTGACTGGAGCCGTGATCGCTGAGCTAAACCTGGAGAGGAGTGACAGAAAGGAGGAAGGTTTTCACAAGTTCATATTGAACCGGTTCCTTCATACTCCAGTTCTCCAGTGATGTAATTCAACACAGCGAGTTAGCTCTAGTTACATGTTGATGTAAAGCCTTCAGGGTAGTTTTTATCGCAACAACTGCAGTTTAACAGAGCAGACTTAAGTTTTTCAGATGTCTTTCTTCCATTTATATATTCAGTTATTCTTCATGAATAACTTTGAGCCATACATAACAGATGAGTGTTTCATGATGCAACTCCGGGACCCTTAAAAATCAGTTTTTCTGATTCTGTCTTGAAAAGGCCAGTTAAACCATGACAAAGTGCACATATTATGCTAATCTGTCAGCTTCATATATACATAGATATTTGTAACTTGTGCCTTCAAAAAGCTCATCATTGTTCTCATACTGCCTGTGCTGCAGCTCCTCTGTTCAAACCAGAGAACAGTCTGCTCTGATTGGTTACCTCTTATATTATATAGGCAATATTTTAGCCAAATATACACTGCAGTGGTATCCACTCAGTTGTGCTAATTAAAATAACAATTGAATTGTTCTGATGCCCAATCTATTGAAAGATAAAACCATGCCATGTCCTTTAAATAAATAATCATGCAATTTGTTAAAGCAGCAGGATAATAAAAAACCTATATGAGCTCATTAATGACTATTTAAAAAAAGAAGCCAAAGCAAATGATTCCTTTTTTCCCTGTGCCTGCCGTATTTCAGTGCTGTGTAAAGAAATCTCATTACCTCAATTACCTTTTTCCCGATGAAATATTCTCAGATTAGTTAGCGTCATTATGACTTGAAAAGAGAAAAGAGATTTGTTCTACTCTGTAGGTTCGTCTTAAACAAGCTAACATGAAGCTATAGCTTGTTGCACATACTGTTGAGTGAGTTTACAAGTTGTACATTATGTATTTGCTTTAATGATAAAACAATCATAGAAAGTAAACAGCACATTTGAAGTAGATAATTCTAGAGCAAAAGGTAAGAAAAGTAGAAGAAATTGTGCCTTTTATCCAAATCAAGGGCACGCTGCAGATATGATGTTTGTCAGTGGGATCCCACCAAGCTGTAAGGCACGCAACAACACACACACACATTTGAGATGCATCAGTGAAGCTGGCTGGTCTTCAAAACCATCATTCTGCGGTGGGTTATTATACAAGGGAGTGGGCAGGCTTTTCGCTGAGGGGCGAGAAACACATCCAGCCTGACCTGTTTATACACACACACACACACACACACACACACACACACACACACACACACACACACACACACACACACACACACACACACACACACACACACACACACACACACACACACACACCACACACACACACACACACACACACACACACACACACACACACACACACACACACACACACACACACACACACACACACACACACACACACACACACACACACACACACACACACACACACACACACACACACACACACACACACACACACACACACACACACACACACACACACACACACACACACACACACACAGTGATCTGCTCTCGATGTGATCACATGATGATGGATGAGGGGATGGAGTAATGAAAGAGGAAAAAAAAAGACCTTGTTCTCTCCCATTAACTCCCACATCGCCTCCTCTCCTTCCCCTATCTGTGTGTCGCTCGCTGTGTGTGTCTTTGTCACTCTGTCTGTCTGTTTCCGTCGCTCTCGAGGGGGAGAAAGACAAAGGGAAGATGAAAAAGGAGGCAGAGGAGGGGAGGAGGGAGAGGGTTGTGGTCCTCTGTTCCCACCTCATTAAAGACCACTTTAGTGTGGAGTTGTGTGGGTGTGTGTTTGTGTGTTGTTGGTAAACTTAAGACCCTTTTAACCAAAGACTGTTCATTGAAAATGTCATTTTTAATAAACTGACTTTGTCAAACCATCCTCGCCAAGGCTTGACATATCAGAAGCTATGTTATATAAAAGAATCTGAAAGATAATGCAGGACTTTATTGTGTTGAATAAGTGAACAAGAATGTCTTCAAACTGGACTTTAGCCGAAGTCAGCTGCTGCAAACTGGGAAGGAGACGACATTTGTCAGCAGCTGTCAGGGACTGTTAAAGTTTTGAGACAGTAAAGGGCTTCCTCAGGGCCGAGGGGACACATGGAGAAGGGTTCTAGATAACCAGCAAACTGAACTCAATAAGTCAGTTTGTCAGATATACTTTCTGCTGGTGAATTATACTCTATACTATTCTCTTTAAAATGAAGTTAAATTACTATGAAAAACACTATAAAGGAACAGTACCTGAGTCAATTGCTGGAAAGACATGCTGGTAGTACTACTTTTGTTCAGATTGTGGAAGTAGATTGTATTTTTGAGAGGCTATCATCAAGTACTTACAAGGTTTTATTGGCCACTTTTCTCTTTCATGGCTAAATATACAGGTCAATAGACCGGAAAAATGCCTTAGTAAATTCTTAATGTGACCTCAGCTGAAGGAAGAGTGCTTTCATTACCTTACAACATAACCGGTGCAATTTTCCTACCGCAAACTATTTTTTTTATGAACAGAATGCAGTTAAATAAATAGTTCATGAAAACAACGACGCTGCTGTTGCCTGTGATTGTACAGTGTGGGAGTCAAATGTTATGAGTCTGGAAAAATAACAGTTATTTTAGCTGAAGGAACTCGTGGCGTATGCCCTGAAACATCTGCTTGAGGCAACGGGTGAAATGGAGCAGAGCCACGATGAGTGCGGTCTCTGATGATCTCTCGGATGAAGGAGATGTCGTTTTACTGCAAGGAGAGGGAAACGAGCGGCTTTAAAGGACGTAAAGTACTAGAGACCTGGGTTTCGCTTTCTCCTTAAGCTGTATTATATTGCAATTTAAGTTTGAGTTGAATGCAGGTCAGTCAATTGCAGCAACTAACATTAGAAATCGTAATATTGGGCTCTGGGCTTCTGCACACCACTGTTGCAATCTGCATTCATTCCCACCTACTTATATTTGTCTGGCCAAAAACCTCCATGATCCCAGCTATAGCACCGCTGCTAACAACTTCTATACACCGTAATGTCTGCAAACAGCATCAGGGCAGCTGTTTCAACAGCGTGTCTGGCAGCAACCACGTAGATCAAATTCTGTCTATCTGTCTGAAAATGTAGATGAAAAGAACGTGTGCTTTGTGGACTTGCAGCCACTTGTTATGACGGATATTTCCGAGGTGCAAAAAATAAATCCTTTATCTGAAAAAGGATGCTGCTTGTTAAAAATGAGCTAGATGCTCTGCTAGACTCCCGAGCTGAAAAGGAGATATTTGAAAAGCACTGGAAAATAGACTTTTGGGAAATACATGAACCCTAAAGAAATGACAATGCTACTCTCTCCGAGGATACTTGTTAAAAAATACCAATATAGAAAACCCTGAACAGAACATAATAAGGGTATACTTCCTTATTGAAAAGGGTGTTGGTTTAGGAGATCCATCAAAACAATTGAATATGAGCGGGCCCAGAGGATAGGACAATGCATTCGGGGAAATCACATACATCATCTAAAGCAAAAATAGCAGGAGCGACTTCACTCTCCACTGAACAGCTTTGAAACAGAAAGGCATGATTACTCACAGTGCTTATATATGGTTCAGGTATTTCCTGTAATGAGATATCTGTTTTGAATCTGATGCATACTTGTAAACATTTGCACTGCATGGATCATGTGCGGCTATTCATGTGTGGCTAGGAGACAGTTGCTTGTTAATTAGAGAGGGCCTGAACTCATTATTCACCTGTTTCTAGAGCGGGGGCCTCAGAAACGTGTTATTCAATCAATGATAAGGAGGGTGGGAGAGATGGTGATATGTTTCAAGCCACCTAGCCTAAAATATTCCTCAAGGGAGGAGTTGAGGATGAGTCAGAGAGGAAGGAGATGGTGGAGCTGCAAGAAAGCTCGGGGTGCTTTTTATAAAAAAAGGCTTTTCGCAGCGTGGGAGAGCGAGCTAAGAAGAGACGGAAAGAAAAAAAGAATGGATGAGATGAAGATGTTGTTTGGCGCTTCTTCAACAACAGGAAAGCGTGTGTGTTGGGAGGCAGTGTGGGTCATTGCTTGGGCGTGCATATCCTTAGTGATGGAAGTTGAAGGAGGAAAGCCAGCTGGGTTAACA